GAGGAAAGCGAACCCGGCCGGAGCGATCAGCGCAAGCCCTTCCAACAGGGAAACGGCTCGCGAGAAAAAAGGCCCGAGAAGCCAGAAACAGGACGAAAGGTCCCAGAAAAGAGCGGAGATCCCTCGAACGGAGATCCCTCGAACGAAGACGAGGCACGGAAAAGCCAAAAAGGGCAGTTCGAGGCAAGGAAGCCGTTCCTGTGCTACAACTGTCAGGAGCCGGGACACACAGCGGCCAGGTGTAACAAACCGCGGGTTGTGTTCTCGTACGTGAACGGTAGTGACGAGAACCTGAAGCTTCTTCGTCCCTATCTTCACGAGCTCCAGGTAAACGGAAAGCCGTGCAGGGTGCTTCGGGACAGTGCAGCGACGATGGACGTTGTTCATCCGTCGTATGTGACGACATCCGACTTTACTGGAAAGGTAGTTTGGATCAAGCAGCTGCTCGAGAAGCACAGTGTCTGTCTGCCTATGGCGAGAGTAAGGATAACTGGCCCGTTCGGAGAGCTAGTGACAGAGGCGGCTGTCTCGCAAACAGTCCCGTTGGAGTATCCCTATTTGTTTTCTAACCGGTCAGATTTCCTGCTGCGCGAAAGGGGTCAACAACTGGGAGGAGGACTAGTTCAGTCATGTACGAGGTCCAAATCGCGTCAGCTCGCCCCTTTGTTAACGAGTGATCCAGAGCGAAAGACAGCTGACGGGGAGCAAGCACTCCCAGAGTTGGAGGCAGAGAAACGGGATGAGGGGGACCAGGTTGTAGAACAGCCCGACCTCGTAGCACCAGAAAGCGTACGAGGCCCCAACGCGTCGGCGCAGGAGGCGGAGGAAGACGGGGTCGTTGAGGGGTCTCTCTTAGCTCCGACCTCACGTAATTTTGATCGTCTGTTGCGGGTGGACCGAGCGTCTCTGACAGCCGAGCAGAAGAGCGACCCTAGCCTGTCAAGATTGCACGATACAGCCAAGGAGGGTATTGCTAGGGCCAATGTAACGGGGCATGAAAAAGGCGGATTGTTTTATCGGCGCTATAAGGACCGCATTTTCACGTCTAGAAATCACGTGAAAATCGATCACTATGACTTCAGCGTAAGAAAGAGGAAAGGCAAATTTAACAGCAATGCCGATGGGTTGAGCAGATTTTTCTGATAATACCAAAAAGAGTAGGGATGATCTCAGAGGTTTTCGTCATCCACGGGAATGAGGATCGAAGTAGGGGGCACTTCGTTAAAACCCCAAAATGACCTCACAAATTGCGAAGAGTTTTTGTCTTTTTGTATTTTGTTCATAGTGACCTTTTTGGAAAAATGAGTTTTGCTTTGGCGACAGCGGGTCTCGATACCCGAAATTGTCCTAAGGTTTTAAATTGCATTGTTTTGGCAAATTTTGGTAATCCGTAATCCAGTCTGGCGGGTCTCTGGCGGATTCCGAGCGTTTGACTGCGGTGTGGCGTGGTGTTGTGGGGGACGTTTCCGCTGATGCCTCCGTTGTGAGAGGTTTGGGAGTTTGCTAGTGCTTGCAGCATCTTCTCAAGGCCTACTCCAAGCCCACCTCTTCAGGCCAGCGATAGTACCACCGGCCATTCGAGGTTTCCCTGGCCCCGGAGGGGCTGTTAAGAATGGAACCTTCGGCGACCTTCTTCCGCGTTTCAACGCTGCGGAAACGAGTCAAGACGAGTCCGGGACCGTCGCCCGCTTGTCGGGGCCTGCGCGAAACGAGTCCCGACGTGTCTGGGACCGTCGCCTGCGTGACGAGGCCTGCGGCAACAAGTCTCAACGCGCCCGTGACGTTAGCGGGACGTGTGTGTGTGTGCGTGGTGGTTGGTGCGCTCGGAAAAGGGAGAGAGGCATGGCCTAACTGCGGAGAACTTTGGCTACGTCGCACTGGACGGCGGACTTTTCTGCGTCGCACTTGACGGCGGGTTCCTGCATCGCACTGGCTGCCCTGGCGGAGAGTGAGGGAGAAACGGACCCTATATAAGGCGGAGCGCGAGGCTGCTCCGTTGTTCTCTCGGATTTGACGACTGTATCGCTACCATGTAATTAAACCGTTCGTTACGTTACCAAGTCTCCCACCTCCACTGAACCCCTGGGTTCTTCACTTCGGGGAATGGACGTCGTCTCGAGCCAGGAAGCTTCCGGACGTGCGGCCTAAACCCCGCCTCGAACACCGCTAGGATAGCGGGAACTCCACAGTCAAGGCTATCGGCGCGCAGGCGCAGTAGCAACTTCTTCGTTGCGGAACGCTTAGCGGAGGGGGCAACGCGGTCTACGAAAACTCCCTAATGCCACGGAGTTGGAGCGGTCAACGCTGAACCACTACGTCAGAGGCATGTGAACGTCATTCTCACGTTTTGCTTGTTTTTACTTCTCAGAGCGAAATTGAACGACGACGTCATGAGTTTCTCCTCCCGGTGTTGGCTGACCGGGCGTTCACGTGATCACCCTAACACGGATGCGCTAGCTTGCGCTGCCTTGCCCGCGTCTTTTCCCCGTTCCCCTTCTCCTCTTTCGTCTTCTCCCCTCCCCCTCTCTCCCGGGCCATCACCGTCCACGCCATGCAAAGCGGCCTGCACGCGTCCAATAAAAAAAAAAAAAAAAAGACTTGCCGGCGTTGCGTGTCCTGTTTCTCGCTCCCTCCCGAACGTCACAAGACCACGTGGTTCGACGTGACGTAATCATGACTGTGACGACCTGAGACCAATGTTGCCTGACGCAACCGAAGTTTCGGTTTCGGTATCTGCTGATGTTTAAATTAGGATTACACAAATAATACTTCACATTTCGCGAATCCGAAGACGTAGAGTTGTTTAGTAGTGCTTTGTGAATGTGAATCACATGGAAGCCTAAATTTTTCCGAATTGAGCGGAGTTGCCCTTTAAGGGTTTTCTTTCCCAGACGTGTCTTTATAAATTAAAAAAAAAAGAAAGTAAATGACTACCGTATTCGTAGTATACCGAGAGATAGCCCACCTAAAAACATGAGAAAATTGGGTGAAAACGAGAAGTAGGCTAACTTTCGGTGTGCAATCAAGAGCATTTGTAAGAATGCTACTTTTATATTCTGTCACCTGCCAAGCTTGCTTTCACGTTGAGGGGCAGTGGAGCGCAGGAAACTGTCATTAAAACGTTCGCTTATCTCCCACTGTGGCTGAGTGACTCCAATTCTGCCTAGGTCACCTTGGGCTTGCAATCACTAGAGGTGTTTTCTTTCTGTGCTTCTGAAAGAATAGCAAATCGTGCCAAAAACAGGGGTGGGGCGTAAATCTCTCGGGATATTACGGCAGTTGGACTCTGACGAACGACGTTAAAGGGAAGCTACGGGGGTTCTTGAAAAAATTCAGTTAGAAGTGAATTCTGATGTATTTTTACCCCGTGAACCCGAATACCCAAACCATTTGCTGCGCAAATGTTCTTAAACGCGAGAAAACGCGAAAGACGGTCGCTGTCCGTGACGTCATCGACGGATGTTTTGGCTGCCCAAGGCTATGGAGGCGGGGCTTCAGCCCTATTTTAAAATTGCTCTTATGGCTTCCCGGCGCGTCGCATTGAAACATAATTGAGATACCTGTTATTCTAAAGGCCAAGTGAACGCAATAAAAGTGTTTTTTCTCAAATGCAGAAGTGCCCCATCTTCCCATTAAAGCATACTAGCTATTGCTGTTTTGAAAATGATTCCGCACCGTAGTCAGAAAGGGAATAGACATTGAGGGTCTCCCATGACAACGTAAATGCATACATTCTAGGGCCGCCGCAAATAGACCGATCTCACCGGCCAGTTTGACTACGCCAGCACTACCGCAATGCATCGAGGGAACTTTAGTCTTTCTGCACGTGCGACAACCTCGAAGAAGCTCTGCGCGTTAGGAGCACGAGACAGCACGAGCCCTCTGGTGCACTGCCGTTTGCCTCCTGTGAACTAAAGTTATGGTGGCGTCACGCATGGGCCGAACGCTCGGTGAGATCGGTCTATTTCAATGTTGAGACTAGAAGCTCCGTCTCCAGCCTTCTGCCCTCGCGAACACAAGTTTGAACGCGCAGGCACGCGCCACCAACGCACTGCGGAGGCGAGTAAGCTCGCGCTGAAGGAGAGCTGACGGTGTCCGTCTGTGGACAAAACAGAGGAAGGGGAAGCGCGCCGCGTAAAGAGGAAGAGAGTAGTGAAAGAACAAAGGCCAGGGGGAGGCGACGTCACGGGCCGGAAGCCAATGCGCGCGCGGATGCTGGGGCGAGTCTGAACTTGCAGGTGTGCGGGGCGCGTAGGACTCGGTTTGTGCTACAAAATGAAGTGTGAACCGACGCTGGTCCAAGTAGGCGGCAAACAGATCCACGGGTTTGAATTCTTGGGAATTACGCCACACGTCCCATTTTCGGAAACGCTAGCACTGATCCCGTAACGAAGCCAAAAAGACGCAGCAAAAACAGAGGAGGCCAAAGAGAAAAGTGAAGAGGTCAGCGTTAGTGTTTCCAGGGCAGCGTGTGGCGTTTCCCAAAGGTAGTGCCTAACGCATTCCCCAAGGATCCATCAATGGATGTTCCTTTTATTTTTTTTTCCTCAGACATTTTGATTTTGTTTGTCAATTCGAGATCTGGTACAGCGCACGATCCGAACGCTGAGTTCCCACCCACATCCGTCTGGGGAGCTGGGAGGACAACTCCTCCACGGGAGCACTTTATGACCACACCTAGTCCAGCAGATTAAGAACGTAAACCTTTACTTTTACCCTCTACCGGTAGCACCGAACTTGGTGCCTTACAAAGGATTTTTTTTGGTTGTCGAATGAAGAGCAGAAATACAGGAACATTGTGGTTCGCTCCTTTTCCGAGTCCCTCAAAGCACGTTTTCAATACTAGTACTACTACTAATACTAATAAAAATAAAATAATTAATTGCAGAGTTTTTATACACGCATGTCTACCTGACTGGCACACTGTTGAAGTGCAAAGTCTTAAAGAAAAAACAAAACAAAAAAAGCATGGAAAACACAGCCGTGTACAGCGCACTCACGGTCTCCAAGACGGTGAGAAAGCCCTGCATGGTAACAATGTAGCCAGGGTTCACACGGATGTGCTGCGGAATGTCCGTGAAGTCGTCCTCCTCCTCCTCATCCAGGGTCGTTTGCATCTGCTACAAAAACCAACTCATGTATTCACAAAAAAAAAAAAAAATATATATATATATATATATATATATATATATATATATATATATATATATATTAACACTACAATTTTGGATGAATCTTAGTTGTTATTACGGTAAACGTGCGTGGTAGTACCCGGTGCTTGAGCGAATACTTTCAAAAATGCCTACCAATAGGGCGGTCGAGAGAAAAAAAGAAACTCTCTTTGGGAACAAACTGTCAGCCACGGCGGACGTCAGGAATTGAACAAAATAAATAATAATTAGCTAGTAAACTAAAACTTACTAACTTTGTTTTTATTAGTGCAACTAAACATACCTATTAGAAAGTTAATTTTCGGAGCGTCATCGAAAACCGCTAAATAAGTAATTTTTAGGAAGACAAAGCACGTATGAAGCGCGGCAGTGCGCCAAAGAATATCATCGGTGTTCCCGCGCCGCCAGCCTTGTACCCGCCCTGCACGAATGGACGAACTTCAGCGGACCCCCGCGCTTCGCACGAGCTGCAAGTCTTCCGTACCGAGCAATGTTGAAGCTAAGCGTCGTTTGCTACGGGTTTACTTCCTTTTTTGCCCGAATAAAAGTTTGCGGTCAGACGTTTAAAAAACTTCATTCCTTAGTTTCTTAACCCACCGAGGAATAACGGTGTATCGTATTGTTGCCAGAGCCGGCGATGTAAAAGGAAATGACCGTAGTTTAGATACCGATCCCATGCACCCCACCGGGCGAATGAATAAAAATGGCGGACTTTCCCGCTCAGCTGGGGGCAGCCCAAGGAGGATAGAAGGGTGGGAGAGGGCATGACGCCAGCCGCGTAGCCTCCACAAGCCATGCTGCCTTGACGCCTCGCCTCTTTCTTATTTTCCTCCTTACTCTCCTCACTTACCATGCCGACCTGACCACATCCCGTGACCGTAGCTAGCCTTCGTCTAGCTATGGAGTACTAGAAGACACCACAGGCTAGCCTTCGATATGATAAAACTAACCGAACGGAGCGCGCGCAAGCCTGCAAGGGATCCTACAATCAACCATCCGTCTCACACGTGACATGTCACGCGCACCAACGGCCAGAGAGATCTACGGTCACGTTGGCCACAACATCGTTTAAACTTTTTATGAGTAGGCTTTACCGATATTGCAACGTTCCTAGTACTTCTAACCTCCTTGGGGCAACCGGGAGTTCAGGCGCTTGAGCTCACGCTTTTCACTCTGCGCCGGGGGCTAATTGGCTCACTCGGGAGGGGGACGCGTTGGCGAGATCATAGACTGGCTAAACTCTCCCAATATACAACTATGGCGACTACTGGGAGTTCCACGGAAATTTATGCAGCATAGTACACGTATGGACCGACCAATACATATATATACATATATATATTAGGTCTTCGCTTACAGGGGGTGTGCAACGATTTTAAGATTAAAAGAATTTGCACCTCGTCCTTTTTACGTTGTTTATCGTGTCCCGGAGGATAGAGAAAACATCTCCGCCATTAAAAAAAATGTGGCGATTCCGCTGCATAATCGCAAAACAAAAGTCGAACTTTTTCTCCCACCTGCAGCCGCGAGTGGCACTCGAAGGAACTACGACGGCGAAATGCTTACATGACCTCGCTCGGAGCTGCATCCTAACGCCCGCTAATGTCAGCAGAGAGAGGGAGAGCACACGGGAACCTACACGGCACCCCGAATTACGTCACTAGGAGGGGGACCAGGTGTGACCCTGAGGCTGGGAGGTGCCAAAAATGCCAATATATTTTTTTTTTTCACAACAACTAGGACACGCAGGCGAAAGCGGTTTTATGTTCTTTTCTTTAGAAGAGTCAGAGGGCAACTTCCACAAATGTTTGACCGCAGTCCGGAAATCGTTGCATCCCCCCCCCCCCCCCCTCCCCCCGGCCCCATTTAAATAAACGGTATTTCGCGCAAGACGGAGGACCTGCAGATAGCCTCGTTGCCGGAAACAAAACCCGTTTTTTCGTCGAAAAATTTCGAAAATCGCTTATAACTTTTGAATTAGATCTTTAAGATGGTTCCAACCGCTAGAGCTACATTATGGTGGAGTCCAGGGCTTGCTAATATATATACCCGATGAAGAGCGGTCCCCGCTCGAAACGTCGTAATTAACTTCGAATTAGTAACTCCGACAGTACGCATCTTTGACTTATTAACTTTTCCCGGTCCATTGTTTTTATATTTACCTTACTTTACATATATATATATATATATATATATATATATATATATATATATATATATATATATATATATATATATATATATATATATATATATATATTGATGTGGTCGTCGTTGTTGTTTTCTCCACCTCCTCCTCCCTACCCCCCAGGCACATTTAGAGGGTAATTTGATTTGTTACGTTAAGGACGGACCCGTGCTCCACACCACGCACTATACTACAAAATGCCCGCTCCCCTCAAAAAATAAAAAAATAATAATAAAAATGGCATGCTAGTTTGCTTTTTGCAAAAATAAATCACTCATCGCTAGCGCTCCAAATCAGGTGCCAAAGTTTCAGAACTGATTCCGCTTTACTCAAAAGTTGTAACGTTTCTAAAATTTTCAACGGGAAAATGGCAGCTCCCTCGAGTACAATGGCGGCAGTTACCAAGAACGAACTCTGCTCTCCTATTTGAATTTGCAGAAAGTCAGTCTTAAGTTATGAAATTATATTTAGAAATAATAAATTGAAAAAAAAAAATAAAGCATTGTTTTTTCGCCAATTCTTTTCATTGGTCTTGCCTCTTGTAGCAATTGCGACCCCTAAAGCCAATAATTCTTTCTTTATTCTTTCTTTATTTGTTTTCCTTCGGGCAGAGCCCGAAAGAAGGGCTAGTGCAAAAGGCTAAAAAAGCCTGACGTGGCACTGGTCCCTTACAGTCCACACATAAAAAAAAAAAAATATATATATATATATATATAACATGAAAACGGATTCCATCTAACAAAATAATACAGCAGCAAAAAAACTTTTACAGAACTGAGGCATACATACATAACACAAATGCAACAATAAAAACCATGTATATAAGGATAAAAATAGTACTGAATGCAAAAAACAAGAATACAGACTATAATCCACATGAAAGAAAAAACAAGTCATCTAAGGAACACACAAATAACAAACATCATTATCGCTTACTTCACAGAAACTGAACAGTGTACACCCAACAAGGCGAGTCATGCACATAAAACAAGGATGAATTTCGAAGGTATAAAGTATAATACAACACTTTATTGTGATTAGGAAGCTTAGATAAATTTTATAAATTTTATATAAATTTTATATCTCTGCCTACCAGCAGTGCTTTACATTCTTTTTTTAAATAAAGGGAACGACTTTGCATAGTTCATAGAGGGCATGTTAGTTAATAAACTAATTGTTTGATAGTGTATACTCTGCCTTCCGTAATTTGTTCTTGTATAAGGTTAAAAGTCTATGAACAAAATCTAGTTAATTAGACGTCTTGCCATGACGATTACCCCCTCATCTGATAAATACACCATGAAGATGGCCACTCGTCTCTCATTCTTTTTTTTTTATAATTTAAACTTAAAAATTAACACCTATACAAAAAAAAAAAAAAAAAAAAAAAAAAAAAAAACGACAAACGGTTGGAGTTTGATTGCAGCTCCTACCACGAGAACAGGGTCACTCTTCAGGACCGACCTTTGACTTTCTGTGTGTAGACGTACACTCAGCGGAAACATAGGCGCGAATAAGACGACGTCGAATACTTGCCCTTTTCAGAGAGGCATTCGGAGGGGCCTGCGGGGACCATTGGGGGGCGGCCCGCACGGTTGGCACGACGCTCTTCTTCATTTCGTCGTCTTTTTCTTCGCTGAGAAGATGCACGAAGCTCCAGGCAACAGCCAAAAGAAAATTTGTTGGGCCGCGTTGGGTGGGGAAAATAGCGACGGTAATTAGGGGGACGCGAGAGAACTGCCAGGTGACGGTAAAGAACTGCGGTTTTCCTGGACCAGAATAAATATTAATATTATTATTAAACACGTTTTCTGCTGTGAAATTTCAAAACGAAGAGCACACAAAGCGTTCCATGGAACGCCGACCAAATCGTTCCTTCGAAAAGCACTTATCGTACACCATGGTGGGCTAGAAAAATATCACACGTTACTCGAAAAAGTTATAGATTTCAATTTTTCTCGTCTAAAAATTATTCAATTAGATAACTTAAAAAAAGAAGAGTGATTGGCCCTGTGCAGTGCGGGGCCCTACACCGTCAAAGCGCCCTGGGCCACTGCCGGACTGGAAGCGCGCGCTCTCTGGCTTCCCGGCGCAATTCGCGGGTGGCGCTGTCGCCTCACCCCTTTTACCCCTTTGCCGTTCGCACAGAGGGCGTCTGACAGTGTCTCTCAGCGCTGTCGCAACTTGCGGCCGAGATTTTTATCGCCTTTGACACCTGATCCTTACGTTTAGACCCTCAGCCACCATCTAATGCGCTTCTGATGAGCCCAAAACGGTGAATATTTGACACACATCTCCGAGAGATTCGGGAGTAGAAAGTAGTAAGTAGACAGCGAATGCAATTGCGGAAAAACTATACTGCTCTTTACCTCCAGGACTTCTGTTGCAACTCAAGAACAGGAGGAGACGGACCCCTTCTACGTGAAGGAACTTTAAATGATAAATAATTCGTACACTCTCGTGAAATTTAAGCAGGCCCAATATCTATCTATTGCCGTGGTCTGCATCATCATTTCATAGGCCGCGGACATGAAGTCGGTCAGCTGCTCTCGACGAAGGTGTAATAGTCTGTACAATTTTCGCACAGTGCATATTACAGCTTAAAGTGCTTCCTCGAGGGTTTGGGCACATATCAAGCTGATTTTTCGTTTCTGTCCGTGACCGTCTTTGCATGGTTACTCAGAAGTATTCCGAGGAACTTGTTGCAAATTAAACCAGCCAAGGGCTTTGAGTGACTGTTGTCACTTTCCTCTGGGCA